CCTCATCCGACGGGACCCTATCTGCGAAGGATCCTCTACCCCCTCCGACTCAGATCCACGGCCCACCTCCTCCGAAGTCTGGCCCTTGGTCCGCTGTAAATTGTACTTACTCCTCCAGAGGACACGCCACGAAGGATCGCCACCACCTCCGAAAGATCCTCCTCCGAAGGATCCACCTCCCCCAAAAGACCCACCGCCCCCTGCCTCTCCACCGAAGTTATGGTTGCGTCCTCTATAACTGGTACTTATCCGCCTCCACCGCCAAAACTCAGAAGCCGCTCCAAAGGATCCTCCCCCGAAGGATTCCTCCTCGCAGGATCCTACCCCAAAGGATCTCCGAAGAGATTCCTCACCTCTCCAGAACCTCTGAAGCTATTAGTGGAGTCCTCCGGTAGGAACGCCTGATGCACCCAGAGGATCTCCACCACAGCCTCCGCCGTAGGAGCTGCTGTCGGCCGAACCGACCAGCAAGCCCAACACCACCAAAGCATCGTCATGAAAGACAAACAGGGTATCTCGCCTACCTGAGCTGTAATTGAGAAACTTGACCTATCAGATGCAGGACATACTAAACAGAACCTTTTTTATAAGAATTGAAATCAAATTCACGCTGCCGCAAAGGTCTTACCATCATGCATAAGAGAGATGATCTGAGGCTGTGCAAAGATGGGATTCTTTATATTACACGTGATTTTCATTTTAAGGTCAAGCAAATCGTTGTTAGAGACAGTGGTCACTGTGGATATGTACACACACATACACACATACACACAAGCGCCATTTTTCCGTTTGATGAAGTTTCGTGCAGGTGATAATGTGCTGCTCGTTTGTTAGGCAAAGCGAAGATATTCCCCTTATTAATTAATGTTTGAAAGGTAAGAATTAGACTGACCATATCTTATAAGCTCTTGCATCGCTACTAATGATACTGATGAGCCGAATATCGCAACCAACGTGTACATAAAAACGTCGCAAATTTTATGAGAAAACTGGCGATTATTTATTTTCCATATATGTCGCATTAAACGACAAGAAAAAGGCTCAAATGTAGGCAATTTAAGCCAGGAATGAGGGGTCTTGTACTTATACTACACAGATGCTGAGGGAACACATATGCAGATCCATTTTAGCAGCATGCAGGAAAGCGGCAAAACCTCATTGGGTCAAAATTAAGGATGGAAACCATGGGGTCAATAGGGAGGACGAGAAGAAGGGATAAGAATCTAACATTCTTTCTGTAAGAACTTGTTGACTGTGAATAATAAACTTTTGATTCCTGAGTAGGACCTGCATTCTTGGTAAAAGGTTTTCAGTATTAAAAGATAAAAGATTTTAAAAAGTAAATTCCATCAGCAGAAAGATAGTATTAAGCGCCAATGCCAGCTACTGACAAATGTGCTAAATGAAAAATAATCAAGTATTATATTTCGCCACACTTAAATGTGCATGGAAACACCCAGTAGTGAAATATCCGCTCGCCCCCAAACACGCCATGCCCATCCACACAAATCCATGTAAGACATTCCCGCTTGTTTGCCTGGAAATATCGACCCACGCAAAAAATATTAATTAGCCCATTCGCCCCACGTGGCAAGAATAGATGCTATACCCACTTTGATACACGTTTATTTATTGTATTTACACATTAGATGGCTCCACAAGTTCTTAATCACCCAATAGCCAGTTATCACGAACCTACCTATTTCACCTGTTTACCCTTTTCCTTCAATTTAGGAAAGCTTTTCTTTTGTATCATTTCATTGTGTAAATTATTCTAATGGCAATTTAATAACCATAACATCAATAACAATAATAACAGTATCGATAGCAATGGCATTAATTATCCCGCCAATAGAATGAATGGGAAATCAGGATCGGTAGCTAGGGCCTACTGATAGACTCCTTGCCGGCGAGCACATGTGGAGCCATCTGTATGTAACAAAATTCCCCAAAAACTACAGGGGACAGAACATAAATCCGAGGCGAATGGGTTAACTTACTTTCGTTGTAATGAATGGGATACAGTCCAGTACATACATACATATCCACACACGTAAGTAAATAAACCAGTACATATATATATATATATATATATATATATATATATATACATATACATATAAAAATATGTATGTATATGTGTGCTTCAGCAAGATAAACGCACACATAAACACACTCACACACGTACAGACACACGCACAAACGAACACACACATATCCATACACGGACATACACACGCGCGTATAGGTATACACATAAAAAAACACAAACACACACACAAGCAGACACATGATATATATATATATATATATATATATATATATATATGTATGTATGCGTGTGTGTGTGTGTGTTTGTCTGTGTTCACACATAGATTTATATATGGGCGCGCATAGACGCTTATGCTTATGTATCTCTTTAGCCTCATGTTAATAGTGTACAACAATAATTCATATCTATTGATCTAATGTACCCACATATACTTACGTATGTATTCACGCTTATGCAAATAGTGCATAGTACAATGTTTAAAACATATATAAGATATTCTAGGTAATCCTATTGTTTATTTCAGTTAAAATACATTGACGGCTTCGCAGAAGATAGTGAGTGTTCTGTGCTTCAAGTCCGTATGAGCCACACCCTCTGATGCTGGTTTATGTGAGGAGGCTATTGATTTGGTGGTTTCCTTTGTCAAAAATGCTGCTGACCTATTTGTCACTGGTTGTATGGTCAGTGGAGTGTTCTGTTTATATACAAAGAGTATATATATGTGTGTGTGTGTGTGAGAGAGTGTGTGTGTGTGTGTGTGTATGTGTAACTCTCATCATTAGTGCCATTAGTATCATTATTAATATTACTGATATAAGCATTAAGGATAAGTCCGATATGCGAAGCTAAGCCTCGGCCGGGCTATGCCCATGAGGGGATCCCGGCCTGTGTCGACTAATACCGACTCGCTAATGTGTATCAGCTGGTGCTGACTCGGATGAGCTTATTCCTTACCCGCCGTGGTGCCAGCCACAGCAGTAACCTCCAGGCGACAATTGCAACTTCTCGCGCCTGGGCGGGGCGCGAACCGCCGACCCCTCGGATGAGAGGCCGACACATTACCACTGTACTAGCCCGGAGGCTATATTAGCATTCCTTATATCATATATTAATAGCATTATCATTACCCGTAATATTATTACCATTACGGTATCGAGAATATGTCTTGTTCTCGTTACTTTTCATTTATTAACGACAAAAAATCGCTTAATTGTTAAATTATTTATTCTCAACATGCATTACATTCATTCAATAGAACATGTGTTTCTCCTGTAGATGCAGTTATTTCCCGGAGGGCGGCAGGTAACTGCCAGACACACCGCCGCCTGAACCACCGAAAGACCCGCCGCCTCCGCCGCCAAAGGATCCTCCTGCAAGCCCTCCTCCACCGCCTCCGCTAGAGCCTCCGAAGTTATTGCTTGGGCCACTGTAAGTGTTGCTCACTCCCCCGCCAAAGGATCCTCTTCCGCCGCCGAAACCACCGCCCCTTCCGCCAGAAGATCCGCCACCGAAGCGACCGCCGCCTCCTCCGAAGGATCCTCTGCCCCCTCCGACAGATCCACGGCCACCTCCTCCGGAGCTGGCCCTTGGTCCGCTGTAACTTGTACTTACTCCTCCAGAGGACCCACCACCTCCGAAAGATCCTCCTCCGAAGGATCCACCTCCCCCAAAGGACCCACCGCCACCTCCTCCTCCACCGAAGTTATTGGTTGGTCCTCCATAACTGGTACTTATTCCTCCTCCACCGCCACCTCCAGAACCTCCTCCAAAGGATCCTCCCCCGAAGGATCCTCCTCCGAAGGATCCTCCTCCGAAGGATCCTCCTCCGAAGGATCCTCCTCCGAAGGACCCGCCTCCTCCTCCAGAACCTCCGAAACTATTAGTGGGTCCTCCGTAGGAACGGCTAATGCCACCAGAGGATCCTCCACCACAGCCTCCGCCGAGGCAGCTGCTGTAGGCCGAACCGACCAGCAAGCCCAACACCACCAACGCACTCCGTCTCTGAAAGCAACAGGGTATCTTGCCTTACCTGAGCTGTAATATGAGAACACTTTTACCTATCTGTATGCAGGACATACTAAACGTGAAACCTTTAGCAAGAATTGAAATCAATATTCACTCTGCCGCAGAAGTCTTACCATCATGGATATGAGAGATGATACTGATGCAGCGCAAAGGAGGTGATCTTATATACACCGTGATTTTCGTTTTAAGGTCAAGTAACAATGTGTTCGATGACAGTGATCACTGTTATCTGCGGATATGGTCACGCACACATGCTAGTTTTTTTGTTGTTTTTTTTAAGCAGGCGAACATTCCCCTTCTTACATCTGATGTTGAAAGGTATGAATTAGATTGATAATATCTTATCAGTCTCTTATGCATCACTGCTTATGATCTATTAATGAGCCGAATATCGTGCCCAGCGTGTAGGAGTCTTCCCCTCTGCTGATGGTAACAAGCTCCATCGCGGATTTGATGATGAACTGGCGATGAATTATTTTCTTTGTTCCATGGAACAATATCAAATCTACTTAGATTACACAGGTGATGCGGGAACACAGGATCCACTTCTAGCAGCCTTGCCAGGAAAGCGGTTAATCCACGGCGTCAATTAAGGATGGAAACCAAGGGGTCAATTAAGTATGGACACCATGGGGTCAATTAAGGATGGAAACCAAGGGGTCAATTAAGGATGGACGAGAAGAATGGATTTGAATTAACATAATTACCGGTTCAGAATGTTGATTACGAATAGAAAAGAAAACTTTTTATTCTTGAGTAGGACCTGCAGTCTGGTAAAAGGATATTACTAAAAGATTAAAGGTACTATACTATGAAGCGTTAATGCCAGTTCGTGACAACTGTGCCAAATGAAATTAATCAAGCATCATAATATTTCGCCACACTTAAATGTGCATGGAAACACCAGTAGTGAAATATCCGCTCGCACCAAAACACGCATGCCCATCCACACAAATCCATGTAAAGACATTCCCGCTTGTTTGCCTGGAAATATCGACCCACGCAAAAAAATATTAATTAACTTACCTGCGTTGCAATGAATGGGATACAGTCCAGTACATACATATCGACACACGTAAGTAAATAAACCAGTATATGTAGATATATGAAAGATGGAATAATGCAAAGCCGCATTGATATCTTTCATATATATACCGAATTTCTAAATCAATTTTCACCGAGTGCCCACGGGGAGTGTGTGTAAAACCTCGCTATCATTACTCATGTATGAGTAGATAAGTAATGTCTATGAAGCTAGTTAGATCCTAGTTGCATACTCCTTTTAGTGGGTTGCGTGGCGTGGTTGGTTTAGCCCTGGCCCTCCGGT